CAATGGTGCAGAGTTAAAAAAAAGAGCCTAAAATCGCCACTGCTTCTCAGGGCACTGAACATATAAATATACAAATAATAAGTTAACAGAAACATTTATATCTAAAAATAAGTATGGATAAATAACACATGATCAGATAAATAACACTGTTTATCTGAGGAGCAGACTGTTTTGAATTTACCTCCATCACAGAACTCTTATCTTGAGCAAGCATGAAGGCGACAGTGGAAAGGAAAAACTCCCTCATGAGGAAGAAACTTTAGCAGAACCAGGCTCAGGACAAACACAAGGTGGAATATGGGACAACACTGGAAGAGTTGTTTAAATTCAGTTAAATTCATTTTCTCAAGTATTTTTTTTTATTTCAGTGCCACCTTTCCTGTGTTTTATATTTTAGTCTGTTTTGTTATTCTAAAGACTAAAGATGTATAAATAAATGCAAAAGATAAGTGAGGAGTGTTTCTGGTTTTTCTTCGTCTACAATCAAATGATCAGAGAAGAGGAGACAGGAGGTCCTTAAAAAGCTCAAAGACTTTCTGGACCAGGTCCAACAGGTTCAGACGTTTTACAAGCTGAAGTAAAACTGGAGCTTCTTAGATTCACGACCAACCACTGCGTCTAATTCCAGCACAGAAAAAAAAAAAAAAAAAAGTTTTTCAGCCACGGGAGCATTTTGCATGAACAAAACATCTGCAGGTTTTCCTGCTGCAGCTTGTTCTTCGTTAAATCCACATCAGCTTCAGGAATGCACGAAGGAACGTATCCGTGCTAAACGTCCTGCAGCTTGAGAAGCTGTTCAGACGTATCATCGAGGCGTTACTTTCTTTTCCTGCGATGCACATTACGTCAACATGCTTTTAGAGACCGCGTCAAATAAATCGGTGCATAAACTTGAATTAAAAATGATTTTGTTGAAGAAAAGCAAAGTATTTTACAATACATAAAACTCATAAAATATTCCAGACTTTCTTTATGCTTCTGTTTTTGACTTCAGTTTATCCGAGTTACCAAAATCTGTAAATGTTTGTTTGGAGCTCAGTGAAACAGAAGTTCAACTTTTCTCCTTGGACCAAGTGTCTCCAACTCTTTACTTCTGAGGATTATTTTACTGACATAATATCCGTCACGTGATGAGACTGTCCAAAGTTTTCTCATCAGTGTTCAAATGTAAACAAATCACTTGTAATTGTTGGCAACAAAACCTCACTCTGGTGAACAACAAAGTCCATGCTCAATAATCCAGGTATACAATCCAAAATTTTTCAGTCAGGTCATCTGAACAGTTTCTTTTTTTTTTTTTTTTTGTGCTGAAACATTTCACTTTCCATCCAGAAGGCTTCATCAGTCAAGGATCATCACTCTGGTGGTTTACCTATTTTTATTTTATTTTTTTCACATATTATGCTGCAGACTTTCAGCGAATGATACTAGACGGACAAATACAATCAAAACCATTGAAAATGTGCAGAAGTTGCAGCTATCATGGTTTTATCAAAACACCAAAACCGAGCAGCGTATACGGTAATTTTTCCAACAGTGGTGCCATATTCATGATGTTGCATCCAATTTTTATTCAAAGCTAATTTCTATAAAGCTGTGTCAGGTTTAACAGCTGACACTCTTCATCGTAAAGTATGGAATTAAACATGAAAAGGTTAATCCTAATCACATAAAACAGTGCAGTTTAAAAGAGTTTATTCCAGGTACTATGTTGGTCTTGAAGAGCATCCACCAAAAAAAAAAAAAAGAAAAAACATATGGAAGCTGCTCTGTGGATAATAAATATGGTGGAATTAGACACGTGTAGAGTCTCAGAGAAGACTTTAGGATGAAATATGAGTCAAAGTACTTCGGGTACTTCAAGTACTCCGAGTTCACTGTCCAGGAAACTGGGGAGTGTGGTAAAGCAGAGTCCAGGCAGGACGGAGCGGATGGAGAAAAGTTTCAGGAGTGATTTGTGACAAAACGGCAAAAGTCAAAGGAAAAGTTTCCAAGACAGTGGTGAGACCAGCTTGTATGGTCTGGAGACAGAGACATGGACAAAAAGACAGGAGGCAGAAATGGAAGTGGCAGAAATGAAGATGTTGAGGTTCTCCTTAGGAGTGACAAGGATGGAGAAGATTAGGAATGAGATCATCAGAGGTGCAGCCCAGGTTGAAGGACTGGGAGGTAAAGTTAGAGAGACCAGACTGAGATGGTTTGGACATGTCCAGAGGAGGGACAGTGGGTATACTGGTAGTAGGATGTTAGAAATGCAGCTGCCAGGAAAAAGACACAGAGGAGACATCTGGATGCAGTTAGAGAGGACATGGAGGTAGTTGGAGTGAAGACAGAGGATGCAGAGGACAGAGATGGAGGAAGATGAAAGAAGAAGAAGAAGAAGGTGCTACAACACCAAAGAAAAGAGAAAGATTGAACAAGTCAAAAGTTAACATCGAGGATCAAATAAAAACAGTGGGGCGCCATAAAGACACAGTTTTTTTTTTAAAACTTCTGATAATCCAATAAGTTTGACCAGTTTTCAGTCTATTTCTAACATAAGCTGTTAGCAGGCAGCACTAAATTGAGCTTACTCTTTAACTTCAGGACTTGGATATGTTTTAAAAAAAAAAAAGTTTATTAATTTTGTCCTTTCTGTTTTGACAAACTGTTGGGGGAAGAATCAGTTTTGTATTGTGTGTTTCCTTGACTGATGAAGCCTTCTGGATGGAAGGTGAAACGTTTCATCAATAAAAAAAAAAAAAAAGAAACTGTCCCGATGACCTGACTGGAAATTGTTGGATTATATACCTGGATTATTGAGCATGGACTTTGTTGGTTTTTGCCAAGTATTCATGCATTAATGTTTCGCAGCTGAACCGCTTTGGATAAAATAAATAAATGATGGTGGGTGTCCACATTATAGACCAGTCCTTCTGTAAAACAGTGACTTGTTCATCAGGATGTTTAATTCAGAGTTGAGCTCCTGAAAGTCTGATGCTTGTTTTTCTCTCACTCTCTGGTGAACAGTTAAGGTCTGCTTCTCCTCCTCCTCCTCCTCCTCCTCCTCCTCCCACGCAGCCAGCAGTATAAACATTGTGCAGCGAGGATCCTCCCCACCATCCGTCCTGAGGTCAGGGACCAGGACGCAGGGAGGGGGGCAGTCATGGCTCAGAGCACCGGCCAAACTTTCCCGGACATCGTGGAGCTGAACGTGGGGGGGCAGGTGTACGTGACGCGCCTGGAGACGCTCACGGCGGCGCCCAGGTCCCTCCTGTGGGCCAAGTTCACGCAGAGCTCCCCGCAGGAGCTGCCCACGGACAGCAAGGGCCGCTTCTTCTTCGACAGGGACGGCTTCCTGTTCCGCTACATCCTGGACTACCTGCGGGACTCGGAGCTCTCCCTGCCGGACTTCTTCAAGGAGCGGAGGAGGCTCCAGAAGGAGGCGGACTTCTTCCAGCTCCCCGAGCTGTCGAGGCGCCTGGCGGCCGCGAGCAAGGACAGCTCCTCCACGGAGGACAGCGCGGAGCAGGAGGAGGCGGAGCTCGGCAGCCCGGTCACCTCCTCCTCCTCCTCGGACCGAGCCGGAGCCGCCTCCGGGTTCATCACGGTGGGCTACAGGGGCAGCTACACCATCGGCAGAGACATCCAGGCGGACGCCAAGTTCCGCAGGGTGGCGCGCATCACCGTGTGCGGGAAGATCTCCTTGGCCAAGGAGGTGTTCGGGGAAACGTTGAACGAGAGCCGAGACCCGGACCGGCCCCCGGACAAGTACACGTCCCGGTACTACCTGAAGTACAACTTCCTGGAGCAGGCGTTCGACCGGCTGTCCGAGGCGGGCTTCCACATGGTGGCCTGCAACTCCACCGGGACCTGCTCGTACGGGAGCAGCGACCCGGGGGAGGACAAGCTGTGGACCAGCTACACCGAGTATGTCTTCTGCCGGTGAGCTGCTGCAGGGAGGGGGGTCAACATCTGGAAACACCTGGCTGGTGTTTCACACATTCAGCTTCTTTACTGTTCTGAGTTCAGCCACCATGAATCTGACAGAAGCAAAAAAAAAAACATCTGTTGATTTATTTTCTCTGACACCCCCGCCCCCCCCCCGCCCCCCATCACACCATCACAACCTTTATGGTGTTCATGGTTTGGGTCATTACTGTGGAGTGTCTGTAAAGGCCTGCAGCCCCCGTCACTCTTTCATTTCTTACTTTCTTTAAATCACTTCCTCCTGCTCTGAACCGTTCTGTTGCTTCCAGCTGCTGTAAATGTTTTTTTTTTTTTGGTTTGATATGAATAAAGTGTCACTTTGTAACACCGTCCATCTCTTCCTCTTCAGAGTCCTGTTTGAAGCTGCTCATTTACACTCCAGGCTCGGGGCTGATCTTTAGTCTCATCCGGCAAAGGCAGAGCCGTGATGTTTTAGTCTGTGCACGAGTGTGCGTGAAGGGATTTCAATGAAACTTTCACCAAGTCATCGCTTATGGAGTCTTCTTCATTCAAGATGGCCGCCACAGCTATTCATCCTAAGGGAATATAAAAATGAGTATAACAGCCAAATTTAAAGATATCAAGTTAAAAATGTGCACGGTAGTAGCTGAGACTGACCCCAACTTAAAGTTTGAGCACTAAGTAATTGCATATAAACTGATAACCATTTTGACATTAAACGTAGGAGTCAACATTGACAGTCTGTTAGCAAAATATCTCATAAACCACTGAGCAGATTTTATTTACACTTTCAGGAAACAGTTATTGGATGTTCCGCTAAACGTGTTTCAGGTTTGGAGTGAATCCAATACAAGATGGCCTCTCTATCCAATGGACATTAGAACATACAAATATGGCTATAAATTGGTCAGTTTTACTTGTGCTAAAATTTTCTGTATAGCTGAGAGTTATTTGTAATTTATTATTAATTGTTAACCTTTATGTAACCAGGCAAATCCCATTGAGATCACCGATCTTTTTTGCAAGGGAGACCTGACGGCAGACTAACGTGTTTTGGTCTGTGGGAGGAAACCGGAGTACCTGGAGAAAATCCACGCAAGCACGAGAAGAACATGCAAACTCCACACAGAAAGACCCCAGGTCCAACCAGGGATTGAACCCAGGACCTTTTTGCTGTGAGGCAACAGTGCTAACCACTGAGCCGTTGTGCTGCCAAATTTATATGTTTGTTAGCAAAATATCTCATGAACCCTTGGACACATTTCAGTGAAACGTACAGAAGGCAATATGTCTACAACTGATTAACTTTTGATCTGCGTTATCCCTCTGTTGAACAACTGGTGACTCTGCTGCAAGACTTTGAGGAGGATTTGCTCTGAAATAAATGAAAGCTAAATGGTTTTTTTTTTTTAACAATAAAGGTGACATTTAAACGAATGTCAAAAATGACCGAATCAAGAACAGAAGGTGACGTCATGGAATAAAATATCGTTGATCAGATGCAAACTGGTGTCACCTTATCTGCATTTGTTTCCTGAAGACGGCACGAAACAAGCAAACGTTTTTTTTATTTTAACACAAAAAAAAAAACGTATAAACCTGTTTCCTTTTTAAACACTATTTAAAATGTTTAAAGCAAACTAAGGAAGCAATACATTTTTAATTCTCTTTCCAGCTCCAACTAAAATTTGATGCTGCCAAAAACAGAACTCGGATGCAGTTTTACAAGAGCAGAGCTCTGTTATCTCCCCTGGGCAGGGGGGGAAGAAGAGGGGGAGCATGGGGGGGTCGTCTTTGGCTGAAATGTCCACCCCTCTGGTGGGACGTGCGTGCACAAATCCAAGCTTTACCAGGAGCAAGTCCAATATAAAAATACTTTGAGTGAGTTGCATTGACGTGCACTTTGGTAAAAAACTGTTTAAAAAAAAAAAAAACTGCAAAGTGAATGATTAGCAGAGAGGTATTTGAAGCTGCTTCGTAGACTGCAGGCTCACAAACACAAGCGTGGCACAAAAATACACCGTTTTTTTTCCACTCTAACCACTGAACCCCCCCCCCCCCCCCCCACCACCACCCCCGCACACAGCTCTGCTCCCAAAGTGCTTCAAAGATTGACACATGAAAACAAGAGGCCGTGAATCTGCTGTCAGCTGATGCTGCCATCTGGACAGGAAAAGGGAAGGAGCGACCGCAGCTCTTCCCCCCGATGTCATCTCCAGAAACAGGATCCAGCGAGCGCCGTCCTCGAACCCAAACTGAGCGAACAAAAGTCAGCAGAACCAGGAGTCTCGCGCTGACTGTGTCGTGACACACGATAAGGCCTTTAGAACAATGTGAACGTATAAAGACAGGCGTTAGTTTAAACATTAACAGTTTTAATTTGACATCATTTCCCTTTTATGTTCTGAAACAACGTTCGAGTTTTCCCTGCAGCTATTCTAATATTGTCTCGTGTGTGAGGGAGATTTGTGTTGATGGTGATTAAACACCTCCCCAGCACATTTCACTCACGCTATGCTATTTTCTCCAGTGAAGCTCTTATCACCAAATGCTAAAAATGCACACACTCACACACATGCATGTATATAGATATGTACACACACTTGTGAACACAGAAGGCGCAGGAGGCAGACAGATGACGGGAGCCAAATTAGTCAAATTACAGAGCTGGAGATAACGCCAACCTGCTGGCTATCAGTGTGTTCAAACTTTCACACTTTTCTCTCGCAGCCTTCTTCTGCCGTTTATTCTGCTTCATGTTTAAATTCAGCTGCTTCGGTGCAGACACATCCACTCACACAAAGAGCGAGGAAACAGCCCCAGTGTTTGTTGTTTTACATTCAGGTGTGAGAGCAGAAAATAAAACAGGATTGCTTGTTTGTGAATCTGAAAATGTCCGTAACTTGGTCAGTTTTGCATATTTTGAACTAAAATTTGGTGATGAGCATATCGTATGTTTTGGACTATAAGGTGCACTGGATTAGAAGGTGCAATACTGATGAACAGTCACTTCAAATTCAATTCAAAAATACTTTATTAATTCCAAAGGGAAATTAATTGCTGTTGTAGCTCATCCTGGTTTCATTAGAGTTGTTACAGATGCTGATGGTTTTGGGCAGGAAGGATCTCTTGTAACAGTCCATCCAAAAGTGGATCCAAAGAAAGTAGCTGTAAATGCCGATCCATCCACCCAGACCCAGCAGACCTCTTGGTCCCCTTGGGCAGCAGGACTGCCTGAATGCCGGGCAGAACTCCTCCCCGAGCGATGGTCATTTCTCCCAGCAGCCTGCCGAGCCCCTCGTTGCCACGGATTTAACTGCAGATGCTGGGGAACGATCTCGGTCCTCCCGCTGTCACAAGCCGCGTTTCCTGCTACCTTCAAGATCTCTGCGGCCTGGCACTCAAGCACAGCCTACAGGTAGATGGGAATGCATCCATGGCACCTCCTTTTCAACCCATTTAGGATTTGGGGCTGTAGCTGCAGTATTTTTGAGCTTTTGAGATGTTAATCAGCAGCTCCCAGTTGTAGAAAACCACCTTGTTGTTATGGTTACGCATCATAACAGAAGTCCAAAAATTAAAAAAGGTTTCAGTAAAAATTCATCATGCAGCCACCTTGAGCGGCGTCATTCAATTCAAACACAAGGCGCAACGGATTATAAGGTGCATTAAGCGAAACAAAACATTCAGATAAGTCAAAGATTATTCAACTCATTCACAATAACTCTCAACATTGTTCAGTTGTACCACATAAAATCAGTTCGAGGTCAGTAAGCAGGCCCGGAGTGGCCAATCTGGAGGGTCTGGAGATTTCCCGGTGGGCCAGTCTGATTTGTGGGCTGCAGGGTCGGCGCTCACTATTTTTTTATTTTTTAGAACTTTTTATTAAAAATATATAAACACAGAACACTCTACCGCTGCTCCTGGGCCACCCTGCCTCCACAGCAGAGCCGGCTGCAGCTCTCGTTGTTTTTCTTCTTTTCTCCACAAGTCAGCTCCTCTGCCTGACCTGTCAATAAATCCAGGAGGCGTGTCAGCAAATGACCAATCGGTAACCGCAATTTGTCCCGAAGGTAAACGCCCCTTACGTGCAGATCTGAGGCTAAAGCCTGAACGCTTTACAGTCAGAGGCGTTTGTGAAAAATCACCAGAACAAAACGGTTAAACGGTGTCAGTGGAGAACAGGTAATCCAGACACGTGTTACCCTGAGAGTTTAGAGGGTGGGATACAGTTTATTATTTTTCAAAAATTAAACAGAGTTTGAAAAAACCTGTAAAAAGCCAGGGACTGACCCCATCAGCTGATCACAAGTTATAAACAGGAAGTAGCTACCACATGTTCATCTCTACGAAAGTAACTGCAGGTAAATCCTCCATTTTCTGTCATAATTACATTGTGTTGCTTAATGGTTAAATTAAAGGTTAATGCTTAATTCAGGTTATGTTTATTTGTCATATGCAGGTTAACACAAGGTTAATGTTACAATAAAATATTCAGGATGAGAAGAACTGATTTGACTCACTAAAACAAAGAACAAACAAACAAGAACTACGAAAGTATTCAATAAGGGTACAACGTAAAGTATCAAAAAGTGAAAAATTAAATACAATATTTACAAGGTCCTAAAGAAAAAATAGTAAACAACATGGTAGAATATAACGGTGCAAGTAGGATGAATTTGTATGAATAAGTGTTTCAAGGTAGTATTATAAGCTGAAATGCATGATATATATTGCACATAACTAAAATAAACTACACAGGTTGTGACAGGTTATTGCACAGGTAGTGAATAACATTGAGATGAATTATGATGGTCAGGTAGTGACATACATGATACAGCCACATAATGCATAAGCGATAAAAATATTAGGTGTCACAGGCTAATATTAGTCATATTAGTTGTCACAGATGTGGCTTGGTGCAAAGTTATTTGCATTTGTTCAGTGTTATTTATTGAGAGTTCACTAATCTGACAGCTCATGGATAATAACTGTCCTTTAGTCATTTGTACGTGATGGCAGACTCTTGTATCGTCTGCCTGAGGGTAGTAGATGGAAGAGTCCTTGTGCTGGGTGGGTGTGGTCCTTAAAGACGCTGCGTACTTTATGCAGACATTGGCTGTGGTAGATGTTCTGGATGATGTGGAGACTGCTACCAGTGATGTCTTCTGCTGTTTGCACCACCCTCTGTAGAGCTTTCTGGCTCTGACTTGTGCAGTTCCCATACCACCCTGTGATGCAGCCTGTCACCAGGTTCTCAATGGTGCACCTATAAAAGTTGGTGAGGATGCTGGTGTTCATACCAAA